CCCAAAATGGCTCCAAAACAGGCTCAAAATGGGCCAAAACCAGCTGAAAAACAAGCCCAAAATGGCCAAAATTGGGCTCAAAATGGGCAAAAAAAGGCTGAAAATTGCTGAAAAACAAGCCCAAAATAGCCCAGAAATGAGTCCAAAACGATCAGAAAACAGGGCCCAAAACAGCCCCCCCAAAAGCTGAAAAACAGGCCGAGAAACAGGCCCCAAATGGGCCCCAAATGCCCCCCAATTTCGGCCCGCAGAGTGCTGCAGGAGGTCTCTGATCTTTTCTTAAAAACCTCCAGTGAGGAAGAACCCAGAATGTCTGGTGGCAGGCTGTTCCACTGGTTATAATTGTCCTCCCTGGCCAGGAAATTCCTCCCTTAATTCCAGATTGCTTCTCTCCTGCATTCATTTCCATCCGTTGCTTCTTATCCTGCCTTTTGGGGGCTTTGGAGAACAGCTCGATCCCCTCCACCTCTCTGGGGCAGCCCCTCAAACCCTGGATTATCTGGGATAACCAACCTTGGGGATGGTCCCCTATTAGCAGGCAGGAAAGGCCTGTTTAGAGCAACTGAAACCACTGTCTGTTCCGAAAAAAGCCTGACTGGGAGCTCTTTGCAACTTTCTCATTGATTCATAACCATCTGTGGAATGGATATGGCCTCCAGAAGTGGTGGGTGCTCCCTCACGGGATGTTATTGAGACTGGGGGGGCAGGGGCACTGCTATGGAATGGTGTGGGGTCTCCTGCTTGAGCAAGGGGTTGGACTAGAAGACCTCCGAGGTCCCTTCCAACTCTGTAATTCTGTAAGGGTCTCCTGCTTCAGCAGGGGGTTAGAGTACATGACCTCTGAGGTTCCTACCGACCCTACGAGATTCTATGTTCTAAGGTCGGGGGGGACGGGGGGGGATTTGATGCATGCCCTTAGAGAATTCTACTCCAAGGGGCTTGGGAAGGGACCTCGGAGGTCTTCTAGTCCAACCCAACTCAAAGCCGGAGACTTCACTTCAGAACGGTTGGTCCAGCCCGTTTTGGAAAACCTCCAGCGATGGGCTTGCGGGCACAACTCCGGGAGGCCAGCAACCATCCACCTTTGACACCCATCAGGGCAGATGTGGCCACACCCTCCTCTCCCTCCCCAGGTCCATCCTCCCGACAGCTCTGGAGGCTGTTTTTGGCGCCCCGGCCAGGGCGCTTCCCTCCCACCGATGTCCAGCCACAAGCAAGAGAGGGTCAGGCGAAAAGCAGCGAGGAAGCACAGAGACCGCCAAGCTGAGAGGGGAGGGTTCCCACGGCAGCCCAGTACCGACCCCCCCCCCCCCCCCCCCGAAGCCAAGCCAAGCCAGCAATTTCAAGAGGACGGTGGCAGTGGGACCGAGAGGGCAGGCGGGCGCCGGAAGGGCTGGCAGGAGGCCGATCTGTCAACTCTGGCAGTGTTTGCGCTTCCTGGGGGCCGTGCTAAACTCCCCCGTTTGCACCCGCATCTTGCAACGCCACCCTACAACTACGCGCAGAGAAGGGAGAGCTCTTCCGCTCGTGATTCTTTTCCGCCAGCCGCCAGGTCTCCCTTCTGGAGGGCATCTGCAATGCCAGCCGGGCTCGGCCACCCCGTTGAAGAGATCCAGGGGTTCTCTCCCCCCCCCCACACACACTCCCCCTCCCACCACATGGCCCGGGAAGCGAGAGAGAGAGTCGGTTTACTTACATCCATGGAGTAGTGTTCAATCTGATAGATGCTGGTCAGGCCTTGCGCCGTGAAATAATCCAGACAGGACGAGCAGCCCAGCCTCGCTAAGAAACTGCAGGGGGATGGGGGGGGAGGACGACGAGGGGGTGGGGTGGGGGGCGAGAGAGGAAGAGGAAGAGAAAGAGAGAAGGAGAAATTGAGATGAGGAGGTCACCCAGAACTGCAGAGCCCCGACATGGCAAGATCCGCACCCGGCACTCTTATAAAAAGGAGGGTATTTCTAAGCTC